CACTGGCCTCGTTGATAGACAAAACATTGGGAAGAAGTTGATTCAATAGCCAATGACTGGGATAAGATTGTGGTCTAGAAAAAAGATACCCAGCATTTGGAGTAGGGCACCCATAGGGGTGGTTTGTTGAGAGCTCAGCACAACCTTTTCAGTCTGCCTTCGCCTAAAGCAGTGATGGCGAACCTATGACACGCGAACTCATTTTGTTGGTTGATTTTTCTTTGTTAAATGGCATTTAAGTATATAATATAAATATCAAAAATATAAGTCTTTGTTTTACTATGGTTCCAAATATTAAAAAATTTCTATATGTGACACGGCACCAGAGTTAAGTTAGGGTTTTTCAAAATGCTGACACGCCGAGCTCAAAAGGTTCACCATCACTGGCCTAAAGCCTAGTGATTGCAACATGGCTCTTCAGTTCCACAGGGCATGCTCTGATGTGCCGACATTCAGAAGAAGAAGAGACTATCTCTTCTTGTATATCTCCTTTTAAGAGTAAAGAAACCTTTTTCCAAGGCCACCAGCACAAGACCCCCGCAGGGTATTACTGGGCAGAATTGTGTCAGATGCTTCTAGCCAAACCGGAGGGGAATGGGACCTCTGTGATCACTTAGAGTAGACTTTGGGTTGGGTTCTGTTGCGAAAGAAGGCTGTGGATACTGGGTAGATAACAACCCAGTGCTTACTGCAATTTGGGTAGTTCTATAGCTGGGCTAACTGGAAAGAAAAAGACCTAATTTTTTCTTACCAGGAGTGTCGGTGAATTAAAAGGCGAAATGAGACATTGGAGGAAACACACACAGTGCAGTTATTAGGATGTTGGCACTTCATTTTGAGGGACATTCAGAATAAAATGGCTGGGATGATGAAGTATGTGAAAAATTGGATATGAGACCTGGATGATAGTTAGCCTAGAGAAGAAGAAAACCTGGGATTTTAGTGGTGGTGGTATAGAACATAGTATTTTTGAATATTTTAGACTTTGTTTCTGGAAGGCTAACTGATGCCTTGCTTAAGTTGAAGCAGAATTTTTACCTGGAAAAATGAGCTGATAAGAGTGTGGGACCTTTTATTTTACTCCCTTTAATTATGAACATTTCCAACATAATGTAATAAATATATAAAAGATACTCATATATTCACCACCCCATTTTGTTAAATTTTAACACTTCCATATTTGTCTTAGCCTTTCTTTTCTTCTTTTTTTTTTTTTTAAACTAGCATTTTTTTAAATATATTTTTATTGATTTTTTACAGAGAGGAAGGGAGAGAGACAGAGAGTCAGAAACATCGATGAGAGAGAAGCATCGATCAGCCGCCTCCTGCACATCCCCCACCGGGGATGCGCCCGCAACCCAGGCACATGCCCCTGACCGGAATCGAACCCGGGACCCTTCAGTCCGCAGGCCGACGTATTATAGATATGGAAATAAAACATTATGATAGACAGGCCTTTAAACTTTTCCACATGCCAGTAACCTTCCTTCCAGAGGTAACTCTTATTTTGAGTTGGGAGTTGAGCATTCCTGTTCCTGTTTGCATGCTGAGAGAGAGCTCTGTCATCTCTTTGGATTCCAGAGAAACTTGCTCTGGCTCTTAGTTGTAATAAATATTGGTTTATCAGTGTAGTGTTCATTGTTTGGTGGTGTTTTGTGGTATTTTAGAAGGTAAGATGGCTAAGATACTTGAACTATAAGTAGAGGTAGTGCCATACTCCTGAAAACACCCAGCATACAGAGCACCATTCCTGGCTACCCAACATCAGAAGCCCCTGGGTATTTTTGAGTTTTTAAAATTTAAAAGTACACACACACACACACACACACACACACACACACATCAGTGTATTTTCATAAAACATAATTTGTGCAACTACCACCAAGGTCAAGAAATAGAACAGCCCCCCTCACCCTTTCCAGTAACTGTTACCCTGACTTTTATTGCATGTAATTGCTTCCTGCTTTTCTTTATAGTTTTACCGCCTAAGCATTCATTCCTTAACACCATATTTGAGTTTTTTCCTGTTCTCTAGTTTTATGTAAATGCAATCCTTCAGTATGTATTCTTTAGTATCTGGCCTCTTTCACTAAACATGGTTTTGAAAGTCTGTATTGTTGAGTATAGCTGTGGTTCATTTGTTTCCATTGCTGTATAGTACTCCATTGTGCATGAATAAACCACAATTTGTTCTGCTATTGATGGACATTTGGGATGTTTCCAGATTGAGGTTATTGAGATAATACTGTTCTCTCCCTGGCTTGCCTTTTCACTCTCTTAATGATGTCTTTTGAAGTTCTTAATTTTAATGTCTAATTTACCAGTTTGTTTTCTTTTTAAATTATTTTCTTTCAAAGTGATTTAAAATTACAGTAGGTGCTTTTTGTGTCCTATTTGAGCAGTCCTTTCCTACTCTGAGGATATAGTTATTATTCTCCTGTGTTGTGGATTAGAAGCCTTTTGTTTTGCCTGTCACATTTGAAAGTACAGTTTACCTGGAACTGATTTTTGTTTAGTTATGAAGCATCAGTTTTTTTATTTCTCTTTTCCATATGGATATCTAGCATAAACCAGCTGGCACCATTATTGTCAAGGTCATCCTTTTCTTCCTATTTTCCCATGACACCTTTGTTGTTAATATCTCTACTGTATATGGATGAGTCTGTTCCAGGTCACTGATCCATTCTTTTGTATTAGCTCATCTGACATTGATTCTTTCTAATGTATTTTTCATTTCAGTTATTGTATTCGGGGATGTGCCCGCAACCCAGGTACATGCCCTTGACCGGAATCGAACCTGGGACCTTTCAGTCCGCAGGCCGACGCTCTATCCACTGAGCCAAACCGGTTTCGGCAGTTCTTTATACTTTCTAACGCTTAGTTGAAATTCCAAGTTCCTATATTCCACTCTCTAGTATGGTAAGCATTCTTATGACCATTTCTTTGAATTTGTTATTAAGTAAATTATTTCTTATAAGAATTAGACAAAATAGCTATTTCTCCACATCTTGAAAATAGTGGCCTTATGGAGAAGCGGCCTCGGTGTAGGCTCTGTGTGCCAGGTGGTTTTGGCAGGCCGGGAGGAACTGAGGGGGTGTCTAAGGTGTCGGGGCCACTGGCCTATGAGCAGGAGCAGCTCTGGATGGGGAGGGCAGGTGTAATAATGCCCTGTTGGTCCTACTTGCTCTGTTTGTTTGACCTGAAATGGGCGTGGGAGGTGCCTGGGAATGTGCTGCAGGGACTTAGCAGGCAGGCTAGGGCACCTCGATAGAGCCCCTACCCACCCTATGGAGGTGGAGGCCAGCTTAAATCACCTCTAACCCTGGAGTGTTCTCACATCCCCTGAGAGCATCCGTGGCTCCTCAGCTTTCTCTGTACAAAGTGTTCTCTGTAGAAGTGACCTCTGTCCAGGTGCTGTGCACCTGATGGTTTTGGGAAGCCAGTGGGAGCAGAGCAGGTCCTTATGGTGCCTGAGGCACTGGTTTTCCGACTGGGGTGGCTCCCAGCAGAGGTCAGGACCCTGTTGTTCTGCTTGCTTAGGAGCCAGAAGGCTCCAGGCATTGTAGCCAGAACACCCTGCATTTGATCTTGCACGTGGCCCAAAGCCCCCAAGTAGAGCTCCTGCCAGCCCTCAGTGGAGGGGACATAAACAATGGCCCTCCAGAGCCAGCGGCAGCTCCCATAGTTTACCTCCTTCTCTAGCCCATCTCTTCTCTTGTTTGTTGTTCAGAAGCTGTTCATCCAGCCGTTTGTCTCACAGGAGAAATTGCTCTCTCTATTCATATATATTTGAGTTTGTTCATGGAAGGGGGTGAGTTCAGCATCTGCCTGTGCTGCAGCCATCTTGGGTCTCCTAATAGTCTTTTTAAATAATCAGCTTTGGGTTTTGTTGATCATCTCTATTGTCTGTGTATTTTAATTTTATTACTTCCTGCACATTATTTTCTTCTTTCTACAATTCATGGGATTAATTTGTTCTTTTCTAACAATTTGAGATGACTGCTGAATTAAAATTTTTTCAACCTTCTTTTCTAATGCATTTATGTAAAGCTATAAATTTTTTTCTGAACAGGGCTTGCGCTGCAGTTCACATTTTTTTTCAAGCTTTCTACTTAATTTTTAAAATTGAGTTATAATTGACATAGAACATTTTGTAAGTTTAAGATGTACGGTGTGTCAACATAAGAAATGTCCAAACTGGTAAGAATTTTAATGAGTTTATTTGAGCCAAACTTTTAAAATTTAAGCAACTTTCAAATATACAATGCAATATTATTAACTGTTGTCACTGGACTATTAAAAGTTTTGTACTTACCATTGTGTTACAGTTGCCTACAGTATTCAGTACAGTTACATACTGTACAGGCTTATAGCCTTACAGCCTAGGTGTGTAGTAGGCTAGACCCGTGGTTGGCAAACTGTGGCTTGCGAGCCACATGCGGCTTTTTGGCCCCTTGAGTGTGGCTCTTCCTAAGCCTTAGGAGTACCCTAATTAAGTTAATAACAGTGTATCTATCTATATAGTTTAAGTTTAAAAAATTTGGCTCTCAAAAGAAATTTCAATCTTTGTACTGTTGATATTTGGCTCTGTTGACTAATGAGTTTGCCGACCACTGGGCTAGACCATCTAGGATTGTGTAAGTGCCCTTGTGATGTTCCCACAGCACCCATCCCTGTCATTAAGTGGTGCGTGACTGTATTTTTTAAATACTCCTCAGATAATTCAAATTTTCAGTGAGGTTGAGAGCCTCTGATTTAGATTTACATATTCTGTTTGTTATTCTTCATGTCTCTTGTATCGCTCACCTTTCTGGGATAAGTTTTTTCTTCCAAAACACACTTTAGAATTTCTTTAAGGGTAGGTTGTTTGATGACATTCTTTTACCAAATATCTTTCTCACTACCTTCCTTGCAAGATAGGTTCATTGGGAATGGAATTTCTTTCATCATTTGAAAGCTCTCACTTTACTGCTCATATTTAATGAAACCAGTATCCTACTGTTGAATATAACCCACAACTTGACTTAGCTGTCAGCATAGTTGTTGCTCCTTTAAAGGTAATGTGTTCTTTATCTCTGGCTACTTTTAAGCTTTTCTCTTTGAATCTGGTTTTTAGCAATTTTGCTGTCTGTAGCTAAGTGTGGATTAAAAAAAAAAAGTACAGTTGATCGTGGGTGTGAGGGGCTTTGACCCCTGTGGAGTCAAAAATCCTTGTATAACTTTTGACTCCCCCTAAACTTAACTACCCTTGGTGTCTACAGGGGGTTGGTTCCAGGACCCCTATGTATACTGAAATTCGTTGGTGCTCGAGTGCCCTATATAAACTGGTGTAGATCAGCGATTTTCAACCTCCTCCTTCTCACAGCACATGTAAAGTAATTACTAAAATTCTGTGGCTCACCAAAAAACCTACTTTTTGCTGATATGACAAAAAAATAGGTATAATTTTGATTCATTCACACCAGATGGCTATTGTTGGCTGTTGTCATTTTTTGACAGTCTAATGGAAGAGTCAAGTATTGCATGTTTTAAAATTTCTAGCAGCACATCAGTGTGCCAAGGCACACAGGTCGAGAATTGCTGGTGTAGATCAATATACACACTTGGCCGTCCAACTTGTAGTAAGCATCTATTACTCATGGCAATTTCAAGTGAACTAAAAGCCACATTTGATAACAGAATTTTCTTTGATTGGCTGGTTGGACTCCGCCCTGCCCCACCCCCTTTTGAAGAAGCTTTCTGCTTAATGCTATATGAATGTTTTTCTTTATAGAAATTCCCCCTCCCCCCAGCAACTTGTAAGAAAAATTACTATTTGAGGCTTGATTAGCTTCCACAGGATCTACATTAATAAAATATCCAGCTGGGCTGTCATTTGAAAGAGTAATCTTGTGAATTGATGCAAGTCATTGAGGCTGAATGTTGTCTGGTGGTGCTTTTAAACAATGGAAATAGTAAGCAGGACAGATGAAAATGTTTTAAATATTGATGGAAAAAGATTAAATGCAAAGCACAGACTCAAACCTGATACGCTCCCAGTCACGTTGAGCCATTACAGGTGGTTTTGTGTGTTTATGTGTAGTGAGTGAAGACGCTGAACTTGTCACAGAATGGTGGTAAGTGCATATTGCAGATCTAGTACCATTTGCTGTGGATGAATGGGTGCTCATTAAACTATCCCTATGGTGGTCTGATGGCTATACGAGCTATATCGATGTCTGTCTCCAGAAAGCCAGGAGAAGATAAAGTAGAACATCAACTCCAAGTCTAGTTTGAGGTCATGAAGGTTGCTTCAGTAAACATTATTAAGAAGAACACCCTTTTGGCATTCTTTTTACTTGGTAATTTATGAAGATAAATTTCTTTTGGAAATTTATCAGTGCTACATCAGTTTTTGGAACATTTTGGAGTTTTATGGCAAAATGTTTGGAAGAAAGTAAAGAGACAAAGTGACCAGAAGGGTAAAAAATGTCTTATACAAATATAGATAAGATTACATCATTTTATGCGAGCATATGTTGGCCAAGTAAAATTTTATCATGTTAAGTATTACTGAGACAAAGATACAGCGGCTTCTGTGATGTTAGATTTGCATACATTTGGAAATATTTGAAATCAAATTTTTTTACAGGGCCAAAGAAGTCACTTTAATATGAACATGTGTTTTCATCCTGGCATTAAGTTTTACAAATGAATTGCAAACTTTTTTCCATTGAGCTTGTTAATAACTGTTCCCAAGAGATGAGCAGGGCAAAGGAAAATCATTTTAGTACAAGCCAACATGGATCGCCCAAATTTGGCTTGGGTACTGAGTTACCAGATAGTATTACATACCTAAATAGCTGCTTGACTTGCCTGTTTCTGAAGGGTTCAAGGTGAACTATTTATTTCTGATGACTTCGTAAGACTATTTAGAAGAAAAACAAGGAGGGATTTTTGTAGACTGTGTGCTAACACGTGCTGTTGGAAATTACTGAGGAGACTTTTTTTTTTTGGTAAAGGCACTATATATGGTGGCAAAATAATTTTCTTCTTACAATGTTTGGATTGAATGTCATTTAGAGGCTGATCTAAGGACATGAACAATTGTAGTAGTGTATGTGTAGTAGTATCTATGTGTACATATATAAAAATATATATGTATTGTTGTGGATTATAGTTATATATTAAAGAATAAAGACGAGCCCTGGCTGGTTTGGTTCAGTGGTTAGAGCGTTGGCCGTGAACTAAAGGGTCTCAGGTTCAATTCCAGTCAAGGGCATGTACTGTGGTTGCAGGCTTGATCCCTGGCCCTGGTTGGGGCGAATGCAGGAGGCAACCAGTCGATGTATCTCTCTCACATCAATATTTCTGTCTCTTCCCTTCCCTTCCACTCTCTCTAAAAATCCTCGGGTGGGGATTAACAACAACAAAAAGAATAAAGACCATGTGGGAGTTTTTAACTAAAATACATAAAATGAATTTAACAATGTGGTTGTCATTTTTTTTTATCCAAAGTATAATGGTTTAGAATTTGCCATTGGTTGCCATGCTCTCACCTACTTTTTATTGATTTGCTTTTATGGAGAATCTGAATTCAAATAAAAGTGGCATGTTATTATACAGAGTAATTGTAAATGGCTGTAAATCATCAAAGGGAGAAAGTTTTAGCACAAGGAATAGGATAGTTTTGATTACTCCAGGGGGAGAAAAAGATGAGATGGATTTGAAGAAAATCCGTGTTCAGGGAAGGCTACAAGCACTGCTACAGAGACATCACTGAGTCATCCAGGAAAACTCAGTTGAAATTGGGAGGATTAAGTCACTGAACATGCATCTTCGGAGAAATGCCTGGCTCCATCTTTGACATGACTGAGGCATTCAGGTGCTACAATGAATTGGCAGTGAGAATCGTCCAGGCTTGTAAACTTGAAGGAAATAACAAGGTTCTCAGAGTAACAAAGGACTACTCAGGCTTGCTCCAGAGAAGTTTGCAAGGAAAAGAAGTCCCCTTTCTGTACTTCACTAGATTTTTTAAAATATGTATTTTAATAGATTACAGAGAGGAAGGGAGAGGGCGAGAGAGATAGAAACATCAATGATGAGAGAGAATCACTGATTGGCTGCCTCCTGCACGCCCCCCACTGGGGACTGAGCCTGCAACCTGGGCATGTGCCCTTGACCAGAATCGAACCCAGGCCCTTCAGTCCGAAGGCCGACACTTTATTCACTGAGCCAAACCAGTTAGGGCACTAGATTTTTAAAAAAATATGTATTTTAATAGATTACAGAGAGGAAGGGAGAGGGCGAGAGAGATAGAAACATCAATGATGAGAGAGAGTCATTGATTGGCTGCCTTCTGCATGCCCCACACTGGGGATCAAGCCCGCAACCCGGGCGTGGGCCCTGACTGGGAATCAAACTGTGACCACCTGGTTCATAGGTCGAAGCTCCACCACCGAGCCACACCAGCTGGTCATACTTCACTAGACTTTGAGAAGCTTCAGCCACTCTCGCCCATAAAGGAAGCATTCCAAAAGGACTTCCATGATCTAGACATGTATGTTTATAACAACATTTGTGTCTGTTCTTTTTCCTCTTTATTTCCATATTCAGGAATAGACTTCCAATTTGTAATATTATGCCTATAGAAAATAGGGGTATTAGTGTACCTTTCATTGTGGCTGCTTTTGACTGCCATTTAGGAAGCGATCAAACAGCAGTTGGGGATCTCTTACGTCAGTTTGAGTCTCGTTCCCTTTTTATTAGGGCTGTTTTGTTTATATGCTGTCTCCCTACCGCACCAAGCCTCCAGCAGTTGAGGTCTTTGAGGACTTGTGACCCATTCATCTTGTTATTACTGGAGCCTAATATATACTTTATCTGTTCTGGTTATTATTATTGTCTTTAGGAGGCCTTTGGATTTTGTTCTGTGGTTGTCAGAAGCCTGGGAGCGGGGTTTTTGTTTGATTGTTTGTTTCAATCAGACGTGAACATATAAGTGAATCTAAAGAGTTGGGGGTGGAGGAGAGTGTCACCGTGTGTGTGTGTCCCCTTCTCCCTGGCTCAGCAATTAGATAAAATAAGAACTTTGGCTCTTGGCACCTAACTCACTTACATAACCAATCTTTTTAAGAAGAAATGTCTCAAGGTCCTTTTTCTGTCTAATTCCTGTTCCTTACTTTACTTGTAACCGCTTGTCTCTTGAGCTAGCCTGGCCTCTTCAGACAGCCTTTGTGGCTCTCACCCACTTAACTCTTGTCAACTTGAGGATTTCTCAGTCCTCAAGGAACCATGTGAGTACATAGAAACATTGATGAGAGAGAAACATCAATCAGCTGCCTCCTGCACATCTCCCACTGGGGATTGTGCCCGCAACCCAGGTACATGCCCTTGACCGGAATCGAACCTGGGACCCTTCAGTCCGCAGGCCGATGCCCTATCCACTGAGCCAAACCGGTTTCGGCCATAATCAATCTTTTTAAGAAGAAATGTCTCAATGTCATTTTTCTGTCTAATTCCTGTTTCTTACTTTACTTGTAACCGCTTGTCTCTTGAGCTAGCCTGGCCTCTTCAGACAGCCTTTGTGGCTCTCACCCACTTAACTCTTGTCAACTTGAGGATTTCTCGGTCCTCAAGGAACCATGTGAGTACATTCCTGCGTCACCAGGAACACTTGCTAGTCTTCATGATGGAAGAAAGGAAAGTGCATTTATGTTATTTCATTATTATATTTTTGTTCGTTTTGTTAATCTTCACCCGAGGATATCTTTTCCAATTGATTTTTTCCCCCCCAGAGAGAGTGGAAGAGAGGGTGGGGAGGAGAGAGAAGGGGAGGGGGGGAGAGAGAGAGAGAGAGAGAGAGATAGAAAGGGGTATGGATTGGTCACTTGCCACACTCGGGGGCTGGGAATCAAACCTGCAACCCAGGTACTTGCCCCTGACAGGGTTCTATCCCCCTTTGGTGTGTGAGCTGACACTCTAACCACTGAGCAACACTGATCAGGGAGAAAGTGCATTTAAATGTCATCTACAGGTGAAAGAAAAAAAATAATTCAGGTCATGTCTTTCTTAGTAG